TTGTTACATGCTGAGAGCCTCCACACGGGCCCCTCACGGGAYCCGAGGTTGGATAAGGGCCCCCAGGTCGCGTCACCGCAAGCTGGAGGCCCTACGGCCATTTTACTTAGGCCTGCATCGGAAAGACTTCAACTTTAAGTTGATTTCTTATTTATTTATTTACTGATGTGTTTTTACTAATGCGCTGTTCSCCAGCCCATGATAATGATGATGCAAATGTGTTGTTGTTGTTTTTCTCGTTGGTTTACTTGTTGCATTGTGCACATTGACATCTGGTAAATGTTGCATCTATGCTGCTGGTTGTTGCCACTTTCATCATTGCTAGATCCTAGGCTGTTAGTGCATTTCACTTTCTGATATGCTACACTGTTGAGCGCTTGGTGACTGGATCTCTGAAACTGTTTAATGTGATAATTTGTTGGAATTTCTAAGCTGCACATATCTGGACTTGGTATCTCTGGACTCCAGTGTGGATTTCGTGTAATCTCTCAATGTGTGTGTGTGCTCAAGGTGTCAAGCAGTGAGGCTCAATACACAATATGGGGATTCTGCAGGTTGTCTAGGTTCAGCCTCCGGATGAATTGATGAGACTCGAAGGAAACAGTCTGTCAGCACCCTTTGTTTTTCCCTCCTGTCTGTGTCGTTCCTCTTACCGGCCCACTCACCCACCCTATGAGATTATCGCCTCTGAATGTGTGTATTTGGGTTGAATGAGCTATGGTCCAAGCTATCAGAGTAATTCTTATCATTGAGGGAGTCAATGAAAGTGATCAGTGAGGTTTGCCACTCATTCTGCAGAGCCCTAGCATGCCGTATGCACCTAACCTACGCACACACACTCGCACCCTCCATTACTCACATTTTGACATATGCATGTCTCTTATGCTTGACTTGTGTTTCCCTCCCTGCTATTCTCACTGCTCTTCCTTGCTGTTTGTGGTCTTACTGTCATTGATTGTTCAGGTGCATGCATGGAAGCTGGCCTCAGATGCCCGACCAATCAGGTGTTCATAATGGGTTGCATTTGTGCATCACCTCTGCTAGCGGAGATTCAATTCAATGCTTATGAAATTGACTACCAAGCCTTCATCAGGAACCGGACAGCACAGGAAGACATCATCTTCGAGCTCAGCACCCAATTGGGAGTTCTGATTACTCAGGTATGTGCCAGTGTCATGATTTTACAATTCCCCTTTCTGAAGGTAGGAAAGACTGGCCTCAACAAGCTCGAGAAAGTCAAACTGACCTCCTCCTCCTCCTCCTCCTCCTCCTCCTCCTCCTCCTCCTCTTCCTCCGCCTCCTTGTCTTCGTCCTCCTCCTCCTTCGCCTCAGCTTACTCCCCCTCCTCCTCAGTCGCTGTGGAACTGGCACGTTTCCCGTGCCCCATCCAGAGTGACGTGTGTCGTTGTGCCCAGCTGCTCGTTCCGCAGCCCCTGCCAACATCATACACTCTCCTTCTTCTCTTCCTCACCTTCTTGCTCGTCGCCCTCTTCTTCTTCTCCTCCTCCTCAACTTTCTCCTCGTCTTACATCTTCTCCTCATCTTCCTCCTCCTCCTCCTCCTCTGCCTTGTCCGCTTCCTCCTACTACTCCTCTCCGCCTTGTCTGCTACCTCCTGCTCCTCCTCCTCCCAGTGCTCGTCCCCATCTTACACATCTTCCTCGTCTTCCTCCCCCCCCTCACACTCCTCCACTTCCACCTGCTCCTCCTCATCACTCTTGAAGCGGCGAGTCCTGGCCCATGCCCATCATCGTCTGTCTTCGTCCTGTCCTCCTCCTTCACTTCGTCCTCGTCTTTAACCTTCATCCTCAGCTTCCTCCTCCTCCTCCTCCTCCTCCTCCGCCTGCTCTGCCACCTCCGCTTCCTCCTCCTCCTTGACTTCGTCCTTGTCTTACACCTTCTCCTCATCTCACACCTCCTCCTCCTCCTTGTCTTGTGATGACCTCCTACGCTGCCACCTCCTCCTCATCATCGTCATGGAAATGATGCCAACACTTGAAAGCGGCCGTCCTCACCGTGGCCGACACCATTGTCACCAAAGTCGTCCTCATCACTGTCATCATCATCCTCGTCACGGCGTTGTGGTCACCACCGTCCTCGTCCTCGCCATCTCTCTCTCTCTCTCTCTCTCTCTCTCTCTCTCTCTCTCTCTCTCTCTCTCTCTCTCTCTCTCTCTCTCTCTCTCTCTCTNATTTGCGGTTGCTTCAATGCTTGGATAGGTCATTGGTTCGGTGCTTGTTTCGGTGCTTAGATCGGGGCTCTTTCGCTGCTACATTCTGTGGTTGCTTCACTGCTTTCATCGCTCATTGGTTCGGTGCTTGTTTCGTCTCTCTCTCTCTCTCTCTCTCTCTCTCTCTCTCTCTCTCTCTCTCTCTCTCTCTCTCTCTCTCTCTCTCTCTCTCTCTCTCTCTCTCTTTGTGTGTGGCTGTTTTATGATCGTTGAAATCTCACAGTGCAAAACTCAAAAGGAGACAATGCCATTCAATTGCAACTCAAATGAAAGAGATTAGAAAGAGAAATAGGCAAAGGAAGAGACGAAGAAGATGAACACAAGTTGGATTCAATGTCACGTCTCCCTAATCTGACCACCATCTCTCTCTTCCATCCTCCACCAACATCTTATTAGTAATAATAACAATAACAATGAATGAATGAGCCAGAACCATATGTCTGAATCTCCTCCTTACTGCTGGCCTCACAAAATGTCACCTCTTCATCATGGAAGCCATAGCCTCCACTCTCTACACACCTCCTTGCCCACCACTACACACTGGACAAAAAGAATCCTTCACCCTTGACTCTCTCCCCTCCCGGGCTCACCTCAGGAGATGGCGGGACACCTCTCCATCCTTCGCCCACGTGGCTTGTTCTAAAGAATTCGCCATGGCATGAATAGGTCATGCCTCCAGCTTCAGAGTGTGTGCCCTGGCTTGCCAACTGTTCCCTTGAATTAGTGCAACCGCCCGTCCGCAAAAATCCAGGACCATGCTAGCACTTGCAAAACGGTGCTCACCCTAGGTGTGATCGTCCCGGTTGAGGTACTTCTACACTGTTGACCAATCTCAGGGAGGAGAACATGCACACTTCTCCAGAGGAAACAGCGACCCGGCAGAAGATCCAAAGCAACTGTAAGAAAATGTAAGTGCAAGTCAGTCCAAGGAGAACAGCTCAGCATTGAGTACAACAAACCGGGCTCCTATGCATTCACCCATTTTCAGGGAAATCCATGAGAATAGCCTTCTGAGATTGTGCTTGGATGGCGGTGTTAATCCGGGCGTGAGTTTTGGGACCTTGTACGCAATTTATCAGGGACTCTCCGCAAAGTGCACAATGCACATGCTTCTGGCGGTTTCCTTGTTGCATGGGAGGGGCGGGTGTGGATGGTCGACAAGCGATTCGTGCGGTGCCATTTGGCCTCCGAGACATCTCTCGTCAACGGCTTCCATGACAGGTCCTTGATCCCTCCAGGCATGGCACTTGCCGGGATTACTCGATGCTGTGGTGCGGGTTGGTGGCTTGCTTCGGACATCCTCGCTGATCCTGTTGTGATGATAAGCACCTGGCTGTGATCTGGTTGACCCTCTGATGTGCGCAGGTGTATGATCTGCATCTGATGCCCTTCATCACGAGCAGACCTGGGTGGTGTCATTTTCGGCGAATTTTTCATCGAAACTTCCATATTTCCCTGAATTTTTGCTTTTTCTTGTTTTTTTTTTTTAGGTATGGCTTTAGGGTATATCCTGTCTCTTATACACATCTAGATGTGTATAAGAGACAGTCTGTATTCAGTTTCAGCGTATTTGGACCAGTAACAAAAAAGTTGGCAAAAACATCGAATTCGGGATTTTTTTTGGCGAACTCTGAAAGCTACTCCAAATAGGGTTTTATAGTGCTCTTGAGTTGTTTTTTTCCATTTTTTTTTGCCTGTTTGGTTTTCTGATGTTTGTATTATGAGCCTGCATAGTATGTTCACAAAATTTTCGACGACATTGCGTGTACTGATGCGGCGAAAAACCCCGAATTTTGGGTCTTCCATTAACCGTCTCTCGTATGCTTGGGCACTTGACACAATAGACTTTGACTGCTCTTGTGTTTGCTTCCGTAACTTCTATGTGCAAGTGTTTTAGTGTTCAAGTGTTGAATTGTATATTTAGCATTTGCTGCTGTGTATGAACTTACTATGAAGTGCTATAATGCTCGATGCTAATCACTGACCTTGGTGCGCTCACAGTTGTCCATTCTGTGATTGGTTGGAGCAGCACCAAGACGCCACTTGTTTGATATTGAAGTCAGCACAATCATGTCATGCTCTTCTCAGGACGTCATATTCACCACCTTTTTGTTCATCCCCTGAAGTACTTAACCCTGGATAGACGTTGTTGTAGTCACAATGTTATTGAAAACTCCGAGCTGATCGACATCTAGATGTGTTGTTGTACCTACAACGCAGGACACAGCAAGGTAGCTGAGGAAAGTAATGTGTTCCTTGTCTGTATACTTTGCAGATTCGGTTGAAGTTTGCACAAGGGAGCATACGCGTTGGGATTATGATATTACCAAGCTATGGTCGTACCTCCCTCTTGGAGAAGGTTGTGCAGAAGGTCACTGTAACTCTAAGACAGAAACTTGTGATATTCAGTGCCTTTGACACCTACAACGTCATCAGGGTCATTCCTCCCCAGCCGCCTGATACAGGTAAGGAGCCTTCAAGCTGACGTCAACAGCTGCACTCTATTTTTCTAGACTTGTGTGAATGTTTTTGCACCCAGCTGTCCTGTTCTAGAGGGTTATATAAGGGCATATTCACACCAGGGATTTCCGGGATGCAATCTGACCGCATTTCAGGCCAAATTGAGTCGAAACAGTACAAGTGGGAGAGTATGCTCTAGACCTGCTCTATAATACAAGTGAATGCCTTCGCTGCAGAGAATTGAAGATCCACTGCCTGAGAGTGTCCATGACAATGAACAGACCTTCACTAGAGATGGGCCACCTTCTTCTTCTTCTCGTTCTTCTTTTCTGTCTTGTTTTTGTTGAGCTCCTTTCTACTGGTGGGGAGCAACGACTGGCAGTGGAGACATTCGTTTGCACCTTCAATGGGCAGAGCCCCTGCTATCACCCCCTCACTCTTCTTAGTGATGTGATATGTGGGATCTATTTGGTCTACGCCAGAGGCATTCCTCAAAGAGCTGGACTTTGGTCTCTAGGGACTCTTTCCCAGAGGCATCCAGCTGAAAGGGAGACGGAGAACCCAGACCCCTTTTTGTGGACAGATAATCCAGCATCTAATATTATTGTACCTATCTGATTCCCTCGAGATTCGAACTGATGATCTGCTTACTAAACAGTTACATGTGTCTACCATTCAATCACATGGCCTGGGTGACAGATTATCTAACACGTAAAGGGCCCAAGGCAATTTTCATGGCCTCCCCCAGCTCAGAAGCCTCTGAGAGGCATCCCCCAGAGACCTTCCTTTTTTCTTTTTCTGAAACATCACGCTACACCTCCTCCACCCAGATGGTGGTGAGAGAACCACCTCGACTAGGAGTTGTAGTTCGGATGGCTCCAACCTATTGGTGGGGAGCTGCACCTGCTGGAAAAGGGGTCCAGCGTCCAGTATCTATGGCAAAATCGCATTTTTAAACTGTGGTCAGGTGCTTTGTGACCAGCAAGCTGGGAGAAGGGACCTTTGACATCA